GCTGCAAACCAGAATGCATCGAATCATACCCTGAGAGCCACACCCCTTTTCGCTATGCAGCAAGGGCAGGTAATGAATCCTCTGCAGGCCGAGGCAAGGAGCATTACCTGTTGGCCTTAGCAACACGGGGTGTGTTTCTTCCCCGTCCCCCACAAGGACCCTGCAGTGAAGATGATCCTACATTCTCCAGATTAGATTGACAAGTGCATCACTTTCTCCTGCTCAGTAGGTGATCCTCAGGGGGTGGGGATCACACAGCGGGGGAGAACTCTTTCCAATTTTTTCTTGATTGATTGACTGATTTCATTTGTACCCCGCCCTGCCTGCCGAGGCAGGCTTAGGATAGCTAACAGGGCCATCGGCATCATAAAACAGTAAAGCAATAAAACAATTTAACCATTTAAAACACAAAAACCATTTAGAGGTACAGCATATATAAGATGGCAAGAAACTGTCCTAATGGCCACCATGGGGGAAATCAGCAGCTGGTGTCTGGCTCCTTTAGCACACAGTTCTTTGATGATGGGCACAGAAGTTCTTTGATGATGGGCGTCGCTTCCAGATTTGGGAAAAGGGCAGCCCCATGTAGAGAGCATTGCAGTAGTCTAGTCTCGAGGTGACGACTGCATGGATCACTGCTGCCAGATCATCGTGTTCGAGGAAGGAAACCAGCTGCCTAATCAGCTGAAGATGGTAAAAGGTCGACTTGGCAGTGGCTGCTACCTGGGCCTCCATGGTTAAGGAGGCATCCAAGAGCACTCCCAAACTCCTGACCTCCAATGCTGGCACCAGTGGTACCCCATCAAAGGTCGGTAGTGGGATCCCTAACCCTGGACCACGATGGCTCAGGCACAGGACCTCCATCTTCATCGGATTCAATTTCATCCAGCTCAGCCTAAGCCAACCAGCCACGGCTTGTAGTGCTGGACTTCGGTTTTCCGGTTTGGATTCAGATCGGCCATCCAACAACAGATAGAGCAGGGTGTCATCCGCGTACTGGTGACATCCCAGCCCATGCCTCTGGGCAATCTGGGCAAGGGGGTGCATCTAGATGTTGAATAACATTGGGGAGTGGACAGCCCCTTGTGGCACTCTGCAAACCAGCAAGTGTCTTCAGGACAGCTGCTCCCCTAGCGCCACCCTCTGTCCCCAACCTTGTAGGAAAAAGGACAGCCACTGTAAGGCGGACCCATGAATCCCAATGTCCGGCGAGGCAGTAGATCAGTGACTGGTGGTCAACCGTGTTGAACGCCGCCAACAGGTCTAACAACAACAGTACCGCCTCCATCCAGATGCCTCCTGAGGTTGTCCATGAGGGTGACCAGCGCTGCCTCTGTCCCGTGGCTTGGGTGAAAGCCGAAGTGGAATGGGTCTAGTATGTTAGCATCATTTTTCTACAAAAAGAGCCCTGCGAGTCTGGACTATGAGAGCTGCAATATACAGTGCATCAGGCTTCAAGCACAGAACCCGAGGAAGCCTAGGCTGGGGGCCCAGGAGGTCTGGACGTTTTCAAGCGGAGGCTGGACGACCATCTTTCGGGTATGTTGTAGGTATGTCGGGCTGTCTTTCGACTGTGCTCCTGCAGAGTGCAGGGGGTTGGACTAGATGACCTGTAAGGTCCCTTCCAACTCTAACATTCTATGATTCTATAAGCCTGCTGCAAACCAGAATGCATCGAATCATACCCTGAGAGCCACACCCCTTTTCGCTATGCAGCAAGGGCAGGTAATGAATCCTCTGCAGGCCGAGGCAAGGAGCATTACCTGTTGGCCTTAGCAACACGGGGTGTGTTTCTTCCCCGTCCCCCACAAGGACCCTGCAGTGAAGATGATTCTACATTCTCCAAATTAGATTGACAAGTGCATCACTTTCTCCTGCTCAGTAGGTGATCCTCAGGGGGTGGGGATCACACAGCGGGGGAGAACTCTTTCCGATTTTTTCTTATTGATTGATTGATTTCATTTGTACCCCACCCTGCCCGCCGAGGCAGGCTTAGGGTAGCTAAGAGGGCCATCGGCATCATAAAACAGTAAAGCAATAAAACAATTTAACCATTTAAAACACAAAAACCATTTAGAGGTACAGCATATATAAGATGGCAAGAAACTGTCCTAATGGCCACCATGGGGGAAATCAGCAGCTGGTGTCTGGCTCCTTTAGCACACAGTTCTTTGATGATGGGCACAGAAGTTCTTTGATGATGGGCACAGATGTTAAAGCAGGCAGCCAAGAGTAGATTGTAGAGCATAGTTACTCAGCTTGATGGTAAGCCGTTTAATGTGGCATCTTGGTATAAGATCTCCAACTTGCAAACCCTGCAGAATTTTAATAAATCCCCCAGGGGCCCTGATGTCCTTGGGGAGCTCGTTCCACCAAAGCGGGGCCGCCACCGAGAAGGCCCTAGCCCTGGTTTTGGCCAGCCTGGCGTCTTTCATGCCAGGGAGAACAAGAAGGTTCTATGAACCTGACCACAGTACTCTCTGGGGAACAAATAGGGAAAGGTGGTCCCCTCAGGTATGCAGGCCCCTGGCCATATAGGGCTTCATAGGTTGCACCTTGAAGCAAACCTGGTATGCTATAGGTAGCCAGTGCAGTGCTTTCAGCACAAGCTGAATGTGCTCTCTAAGAGGGAGACCCAATAACAGCCTGGCTGCTGCATTCTGCACTAGTTGTCGCTTCCGGATTTGGGAAAAGGGCAGCCCCATGTAGAGAGCATTGCAGTAGTCTAGTCTCGAGGTGACGATTGCATGGATCACTGCTGCCAGATCATCGTGTTTGAGGAAGGGAACCAGCTGCCTAATCAGCTGAAGATGGTAAAAGGTCGACTTGGCAGTGGCTGCTACCTGGGCCTCCATGGTTAAGAAGGCATCCAAGAGCACTCCCAAACTCCTGACCTCCAATGCTGGCACCAGTGGTACCCCATCAAAGGTCGGTAGTGGGATCCCTAACCCTGGACCACGATGGCTCAGGCACAGGACCTCCATCTTCATCGGATTCAATTTCATCCAGCTCAGCCTAAGCCAACCAGCCACGGCTTGTAGTGCTGGACTTCGGTTTTCCGGTTTGGATTCAGATCGGCCATCCAACAACAGATAGAGCAGGGTGTCATCCGCGTACTGGTGACATCCCAGCCCATGCCTCTGGGCAATCTGGGCAAGGGGGTGCATATAGATGCTGAATAACATTGGGGAGTGGACAGCCCCTCGTGGCACTCCGCAATCCATCAAGTGTCTTCAGGACAGCTGCTCCCCTAGCGCCACCCTCTGTCCCCGACCTTGTAGGAAAGAGGACAGCCTCTGTAAGGCGGACCCCTGAATCCCAGCATCGGCAAGGCGAAGGTTCAGTAAGTGGTCGTCAACTGTGTCGAACGGCGCCAACAGGTATAACAACAGTAGTACCACCGATCCATCTCGATCCAGATGCCTCCGGAGGTCGTCCATGAGGATGACCAGTGCCACATCTGTCCCGTGGCCTGGGTGAAAGCTGGAGTGGAATGGGTCTAATATATCAGCATCATCCAGAAAACTCTGCAGCTGAATTGCCGCTGCTCTCTCAATAATCTTGCCCAAATAGGGCAAGTTAGAGACCAGCCAATAGTTTGCCAAATCGGCTGGGTCCAGAGATAGTTTATTTAAGAGAAACCACTGCTTCCTTAAGTGCCCCAGGGAAAATTCCTTCAGAGAGGGACTTCTTGCCGTCTTGGAATGTATAGGTTTTATTTATCAACCTGTTTTATGTAGTTTTAATGCTGGTTTTAACTTAAATCATTTATTGTACACTATTCTGTTGTAAGCCACCCTGAGCCCTACTGTAGGAAAGGGTGGCCTAGCAAATCTAATTTAATACATACATACATACATACATACATACATACATACATACATACATACATACATACATACATACATACATACATACATACATACATACATACATACATACATACATACATACATACATACATACATACATACATACATACATACATACATACATACATACATACATACATACATACATACATACATACATACATACATACATACATACATACATACATACATACATACAGTGAATAAAACCGCCATGCATGGGGGGGCCCCAAACCTGTCTTAATTTTTTTTTGGGGGGGGGGTTCCCCAAGGGGCATTTTGTATCTGCCTCCACCACTCCCTCTGTACCCACCAAAACTGCACAGGTTCAGCACAATTCTAAACTTAACTTGAACTAGTGTTGCCAACTTCAGGTTGTGAAATTCCTGGAGATTCGGGGGTAGATCCTGGGAAGGCCAGGGGTTTTTTTGGGGGGAAAGGACCTCAGCAAGATATAATAACATTCAGTACAGCCACAAAAGCAGCAGGGGGACTGATTGCTGTCGTCTGGAGATCCCTTGCTATTCTGGGAGATCTCCAGGCCTCGCCTGGATGTTGGCAAGTCTAACCTGAACAAACAACTCCAACAATATTCTGCCATGAGAGGACAGCCCAAGGGAGCAGAGGTTCAACTGAATCATACAGATCTGCAGGAAAGAACACTGGAGTCAGCGACCAATGTTGTTTTGGGGGGGGGGGTATTCCCCAAGGGGCATTTTGTATCTGCCTCCACCACTCCCTCTGTACCCACCAAAACAGCACAGGTTCAGCACAATTCTAAACTTAACTTGAACTAGTGTTGCCAACTTCAGGTTGTGAAATTCCTGGAGATTTGGAAGTGGATCCTGGGAAGGCCAGGGTTTTTTTGGGGGGAAAGGACCTCAGCAAGATATAATAACATTCAGTACAGCCACAAAAGCAGCAGGGGGACTGATTGCTGTCGTCTGGAGATCCCTTGCTATTCTGGGAGATCTCCAGGCCTCGCCTGGATGTTGGCAAGTCTAACCTGAACAAACAACTCCAACAATATTCTGCCATGAGAGGACAGCCCAAGGGAGCAGAGGTTCAACTGAATCATACAGATCTGCAGGAAAGAACACTGGAGTCAGCGACCAAGCTCAGCCTTACCTTTCCAAAGTCGATTTCATCCATCCCATCACTTGGCAGAGGGAAGAAGTCAGACTTGCTCCCAGATTCCCTTTTAAGGAGATCTCGTGTCAAGGTGCAATCCCCACTTAGTTCGTCTTCCAGGAAACTACTTCTTTCTGCAGGAGGGGAAACAGCCATCAACAACTGTATATGCCAAACACTGGAAGACTCAAGAAACCCCAACCAAACAGGAATATATTAATAAACTTTTAGAAGCGGCGGAAATAGACGAATTAACTATGGAAATGAGAGGCACGAAGAAATGGACATTTCAAAAAACTTGG